TTAGCCAGGATGGTCTCGATCTCCTGACCTCGTGATCCACCCGCCTCAGCCTCCCAAAGTGCTGGGATTACAGGCTTGAGCCACCGCGCCCAGCCACATCAGATATATTTAAACCTTATAATGACTATTTCTGCAGCTTCCAGTTGTCAAGGCTAATAATCTCTAAATGTTTCTTTTCATACAGTTTAAATATATTTTGTCTTTATTTTTGCAAAGTGCTCTTTTTCCAGGGGACTCTTAGGCAGGGGAAGAAAGCACTTATATAATCTGCTTGTACCCCACATATATTGACGTACTTTTAAATTAAGTAACTTTATTGGCCTGCTTGAGCCACTGGAATATGACAGAATCATGATCAGCATTGCCATAGTTGTATTGAGCTTGTAGTCCAATATAAAGATAACCACAATCATAATTTTAGTAATGATACCAACATGTGTTGACCATTATATGCCAGGCACTTTGACGTATTATCTCATTTAATCTTCACAGCTTTACTAGGTAGGTACCATAAAGATCCAGTATTACAGAGGAAGGAATTTTAACCCAGAGGTTAACTTACTTGCCCCAAACCACCCAGTTACTGTCATTCCTGAACAGCGTGTTCTTCTTTCTACTTCACAGGCATTTATATTCCAGAGGATGACAGAGATGCCCCAGAGAAGTTTCGGGGTCTTGGTGTACGAATTGAGGATGATGTAGTGGTGACTCAGGACTCACCTCTCATCCTTTCTGCAGATTGTCCCAAAGAGATGAATGACATTGAACAGATATGCAGCCGGGCTTCTTGACCTTCACTGTGGCCCACATGCACCTCAGGTTCAAGATGGGTGTATGCTGGCAGCCCTGCACGTGTGCTTTCTGAGTGTCTCTGTGTATGCAGTAATATATGTGTTCCATTTGGGAGCATAGCAGCTGTGTGAATGTATGTAATCGTGTGTGTGGGTTTTTTTTGTTTTAAGCAGTTAGAAGTCTGGAAAAATGAATGTTTGAATAGTATGTTACTGCAGCTTTGGTAACATTAATTCTATAGAATTAATGACCAGAGCAATTTTAATTTTTAAACATAAAGGTCTTAGTTACATATATCCATGCATTCCAGTTAACACATTTAAACATACAGAAATTTCACTTCTTCTTTCAAGTCCTTCCCTTTCTATACTTTTGCTGAGATCCACCCAATATCATAAGAAGTTTGTGTGATCCCTGTATTTTTAGGTAATTACCAAGGTCTCTGCCTATGCGAAAATTCATCTGTTGGTGATTGTGGGTAGCCAATACATACCTTCTGTAACTCCTCCCTACCTATTCTAGATCCTGCATATCTACTGGAGCCATATGAGCCCTCAGGGGCACTGGTGTCCTGCAGTCTTACTAGTCAGCCACAGTCCAGGTTCCAGCAACACTAGCTACCTACCAAACAAAACACTTTTGAGCTTTTCTTCCCATTTGGTTGCCTGGGACCTGGAAAGTGTTTGGATTCTAGATAAAGAAGGAAATGGAAGAGAAAGAAAATTGTACATGTATATACTAAAGATCCAGACATCAGGTCTGGGCACAGTGACTCAACGCCTGTAATCCCAGCACTTTGGGAGGTTGAGGCAGGTGGATCACTTGAGACCAGGAGTTCCAGACCAGCCTGGCCAACATGGTGAAACCCCGTCTCTACTAAAAATACAAAATGAGCTGGGTGTGGTGATACATGCCTGTAATCCCGGCTATTTGGGAGGCTGCGGCATGAGAATTGCTTGAACCTGGGAGCTGGGGATTGCAGTGAGCTGAACTCATGCGACTGCACTCCAGCCTGGGTGACTGAGCGAGACTCTTCCTCAAAAAAAAAAAAAAAAAAATCCTGACATCCTGCCATCTTTTCTCTTCGATTTAAAGATGATTTCTTAATGATGGCTTCAAAAATTAATAAAAAGAAAAGAAAAAAAATGATTTCTTTCCCAGACATCCCTGCTCCCTCTATAGATTCTTGATGCACTGACCCTCACGGGTTAGCCTTGTAGCTGTTGTGCTACGCAGAAGCAGATCCTCTACTTACTTACCCTGTCAGAGTCACAGTAGTGGCGCCCAGTTTTCAGAGAAGTACCCCTGTTATTCTGTGATTTCCTCTAGTGCTAATAGAAACAAAATACGGAATCTACCAAATACCCATAAATATCCTATGATTCTTATCTTTCTCTGATATTAGCATTGGGAGTGCAGTGGTAAAGAGTCATATTTCCTTTTTTTTTTTGGAGACGAAGTCTTGCTCTGTCACCTGGGCTGGAGTGCAGTGGCGCGATCTCGGCTCACTACAACCTCCACCACCCAGGTTCAGGCAATTCTCCTGCCTCAGCCTACCGAGTAACTGGGACTACAGGCGCACACCACCACGCCCAGCTAATTTTTTGTATTTTAATTTTTTGTATTTTAGTAGAGACAGGGTTTCACCCTGTTGCCCAGGCTGGTCTCAAACTCCTGAGCTCAGGCAATCCGCCCACCTTAGCCTCCCAAAGTTTTAGGATTACAGGCATGAGCCACCACACCTGGCGTAAGAGTCATATTTCTTTAAAAACAAACATTGGATACAATTATACAACAAGTCAATTTGCAAGGTGAACAGGGCTAGATTACCACAGATAGCTTATTTAGGAGCTTCTGTGATAGAGGGAAGCTTTAAGAACCAGTATGTTCACCTCCTTTAAACCTGGATATGAGCTCAAGATGTATAAAGCATGCCAATTGTTAGAACACAAATTTGAGGGTTTCTTAAAAAAACAATTTGTATTAGGGAAGCACAAGCTAGGGGATTAACAATCTCTGCAGTGCTGGAAGTTTGCCTATCTTATCAGGGAAACCCAGGGTACAGAGTGAAAAGCAGACAGGCAGTGACTTCCTCAAGAGACAGATAATGTGAAAACAGAAGTGATACAAATCGTATCCTGACAGTGCTAGCCCAGGAATGCCTGGCTTTGCGCACCTTATCTAAGCAGCTCTCAGAATGGAGGCTGCACAGCTGGAGTCTCCATCCCCCATACCCACCCTCCCACCTCCCTCCAACTTCTCAATCCAGCACTACTTTTTAAAAGAAGGGGAGGGAAACAACTCCACAACTCTGGCTTCTCACTTCCCAGGCTCTATGCCACCAGCAGCCCTTTCCTTGGATTGTGTTTCCTTTGTTCATTTATAATCCAGGAATAACGAATTTCCTTTTCTTCTTGTATCATTTTCTTTTTTCTTTTCTTTTTTTTTTTTTTTTTGAGATGGAGTCTCGCACTGTCACCCGGGCTGGTGTGCAATGGCAAGATCTCAGCTCACTGCAACCTCCGCCTCCCAGGTTCAAGCGATTCTCCTGCCTCAGCCTCTCGAGTAGCTAGGATTACAGGCGTCTGCCACCACACCCGGCTATTTTTTTGTATTTTAAGTGGAGACGAGGTTTCACGATGTTGGCCAGGCTGGTCTTGAAATCCTGACCTCATGATCCACCCGCCTCGGCCTCCCTAAGTGCTGGGATTACAGACGTGAGCCATCGTGCCTCCTGCATCATTGTCTCTGGTCTAAACTTTTCTAGCTAAAAGCCTAGGTGGCTTGTATGTATGGCAGCATGCTTGGACATGAAACAGACTTCTGGTTAGATTCCAGTCAAGTTCTATAGATGTTACTGGTAGGCAGAAAGACTGTTGTGGAATTCTTCTGGTGACTTTTAGTCCCTGACCCAGGTATATTGTCCTTTGAGTCCCAGATTAACTAACTGTAGCAGCTAAGCATTTGAATCAGACTTCTCATAGCAATATTACGGGCTGTCTGATATATTCAGGATTTGTTGAGCAGATAATTATGCACAGTGCTGTGTGTGATCTTTTTCATTCTCAGCCTTGCCACAGACATACCCCACATTTCCCTTTAGTTATTTTTTTTATACAGAGAATGCTATTAATTGTTATTTGATATCAAATAATTTTATTTTTCTAATGTCAGGAAATGACCCATTCCACTTAAGTCAGTTTTCCAAATAATTAAAAAATACTTCAGAAGTAAAATGTTTCCAAATATTTCTTAAAATTCTTAAAATTTAGATTAAAGTTTGCTGATCTCTTACATTTAATAAAGCTGGGACTTGAAGACTTACCATAGTTTTCAACTGCCTTGCAAGTTCATAAACTTGTAAGGGTACAAAGTGAATAAGATAAATTCTGAGTTTTAAGCTAAGGGCTTTATATTAGCTTTTTTTTTTTTTAAAAGGTTGTTTTGTTTTGTTTTGTTTTTGTTTTTGTTTTTGAGACAGAGCCTCACTCTGTCACCCAGGCTGGAGTGCAGTGGCACGATCTTGGCTCACTGCAACCTCCACTTCCTGGGTTCAGGCAATTCTTCTGTCTCAGCCTCCTGAGTAGCTGGGACTACAGGCACACGCCACCATGCCTGGCTAGTTTTCTGTATTTTTAATAGAGATGGGGTTTCACTATGCTAGCCAGGATGGTCTCCATCTCCTGACCTCATAATCTGCCCACCTTGGACTCCCAAGGTGCTGGGATTACAGGCGTGAGCCACCGCACCCGGCCTTTTTAAAGTTTTTAATTGACATATAATTGTACATATTTACGGGGTACATAGTGATGTTTTGAGACATATAATATATAATGATCAGATCGGAACAATTAGCATATCCATCACATTGAACAATTATAATTTGTGTTGAGCCTTTAGTTTTTTTTTTGGACGGAGTCTTTTTTTTTTTTTTTTTTTTTGGAGACAGAGTCTCACTCTGTCACCCAGGCTGGAGTGCAGTGGCGCCATCTCAGCTCACTGCAACCTCCGACTCCCTGGTTCAAGCAGTTCTACTGCCTCAGCCTCCCAAGTAGCTGGGATTACAGACACGCGTCACCATGCCCAGCTAATTTTTGTATTTTTAGTAGAGACAGGGTTTCACCATATTGACCACGATGGTCTTGATCTCCTGACCTTGTAATCTGCCCACCTTGGCCTCCCAAAGTGCTGGGATTACAGGCATGAGCCACCATGCCCAGCTGAGCCTTTAGTTCTAAGTAAATAATATCTATACCAGTCACTCCTATTAAAAATCTTTTTAAAAATTACTCAAACGTTACCACTGGAATTTTTCTCCCTGAATTGAAGGTACATGGTTAGATCATTAGCAATACCCTCTAAATGAAGGAAACATATCTGGATATCCAGTGTCATATACTTTTATGTATTTATTTCAGGAATTACTATGTTGTCTCCATAATTAGGAAACAGACTGTGTTCTTTATTTGAAACACAACAGTATAAATACTGGAGTAAAGTTGGGTGCAGTGGATTACGGCTGTAATCCCAGCACTTGAGCCCAGGAGTTTGAGACCACCCTAGGCAACACAGAGGGACCTTGTCTCAGCAAAAAAATTTAAAGTTAGCCGGGTGTGGTGGTGTGCACCTATAGTCCCAGCTACTCAGGAGGCTAAGGTGGGAGGACCGCTTGAGCACAGGAGGTCAAGGCTGCAGTGAGCCATGATTGTGCCACTCCATGCCACCCTGGGCAACAGAGCAAGACCCTGTCTCAATAAAAGAGAAGAGAAAAACTGGAGTGAGAACTCTCCTCCTCTCATAATCATAGTATCCACGTTAGGAAAATGCTTCTGAGAGTAACTTAAAGTACTCTGTGTGCATCTTCTTTCAAAACCTTGCTTTTTTTCTCAGTTTTTGTAAGGTGAGAAAGGGAAAAACCTTCACCATAGAAGTACTGTCTTAATTGAGATTAAGATCCAAATAAAACATGTTAAACCTCCATATAAAGACATTGCAACTCATTAAAACAGAAAAATGTACCTTTGTTATGTCTTTCCAAATATCCATACCCACATCCTGTTCAGCTTTGTTAATAATACAAAGATCACAAATGTGAAGCACAAATGCTGCTTCTCCCCCTCCTGTTCCCATGTCAGAGATGGAGAAGAAAGCACAGTGAGCTGTTCACCAGTCCAGCAGTGACCTTGGAGTCCTTTGTAACAGTGTTTCCAATAACTGCTGCCAATAAAACAGTTAGAATTTGAGTTAGAACCTATCTGCTGTCCCTCAACTAGTGTCTGATAGCCGAGAATGTAATTAGTTTGTGTGTCTATTAGAAAATTAGCAGCACTTTGGGAGGCGGAGGCGGGCGAATCTCGAGGTCAGGAGATCGAAACCATCCTGGTTAACCTGGTGAAACCCCGTCTCTACTAAAAATACAAAAAATTAACTGGGCATAGTGGCGGGCACCTGTAGTCCCAGCTACTCGGGAGGCTAAGGCAGGAGAATGGCGTGAACCCAGGAGGCAGAGCTTGCAGTGAGCCGAGATAGCGCCACTGCACTCCAGCCTGGGCGACAGAGCAAGACTCTGTCTCAAAAAAAAAGGAAAAGAAAAGAAAATTAGGCAGGCCCCACAGATAGTAGCAGCATGAAGGAACCTGCTTAGAAGAGGTTTTTATGGTGTGATTGTGGTTTTTTTTTTTTAATTGTTGTTTCCTGAAGTAGAATCCATAGCCCAAAACAAGTTTTAAGCCTGAGAAAATATAATTTGAGGTGTTTTTTATGCTCCTAATGAAAAGATGAATGAATGCATCATTACACCTTAACAGTAGAGCAGAATTTCACTGTTACAGACCGCATGGGTCCTCCTGGTTGTGCTGCTGTTCTCTGCCTGTGTGTCACTGAGTTCGAGCATCATTATGGTTTGAATCAGAGGACCCACTGGGATTAAGGCTTCTTGGAGTTGCTGCGCAAGAATCTGAGGAAACTTCAATCTTTACTAGCATTTCTTAATGCTTTCCTTGACTTTTGTGCAATTATATAAGTTCAATTTAGACAAAATGCTGTTACTTTTTAAGGCATTACT